TCCCGCTCATTCCCGGTGTTTATCCCGCTCATTCCCGGTGTTTGTCCCGCTCATTCCCGGTGTTTATCCCGCTCATTCCCGGTCCGGGCGGTGCCGGCGCAGTTCGGGCCGCGGCCGCCAGGGGGCGGTAGAGGCGCGCCCGGGCGCTTTGCTGCCCCCTGGCGGCTCCGCGGCCGCGGCCGGTCCCGGTTGTCCCGGGGGATCCTCCCGGGGGATTCTCCCGGGGGATTGTCCAGGGGGATTGTCCAGGGGGATTCTCCCGCTTCCCCATGGCCGCACGCGTGTCCCGGGGACACGGCAGAGCGGGCGACCAGGGCGAGGAGGTACGGGGTGAGTGCGCCTATCCCTCCCACCCGGGAGGAGCGTCTCCGGGAGAGGGGCCCCTCGGGGTGAGCGGTGCGGTCGGAGGGGCGGTTCAGGTCGCGTCGGAGGGATGGGGGTGCTCCCCGAGCTGTGTTACTCCAGTATCGGAGGGACGGAGGTGCCCCCGGGCTGTGTTATTCCCTGTAGCAGAAAAACGCGGGTGTCCCCAGGCTGTGCTATTCCCAGTATCGGAGGGATGGGGGTGCTCTCCGGGCTGTGTTATTCCAATATCGGAGGGATGGAGGTGCGCCCGTGCTGTGCTACCCCCGTGCTGGGGGGTTAGGGGTGCCCCCGGGCTATGTTATTCCCTGTATCAGAGTGCTGGGGTTGCTCCCCGACTGTGTTATTTCCTGTACCAGAGGAACGGGGTTGCCCCCGGGCTGTGTTATTCCCTGTATCGGAGGGTCGGGGGTGTCCCCGGACTGTGTCAGCCCCGTGCTGGAGAGAAGCGAGTGGTCCTGGGGCTCTGTTATCCAGAGGGACGGGGTGCCCCCCCTCCTGTGTTACACCCGTGCCGGAGGGATGAGGGTGGTCCCCGGACTGTGTTACCCACGTGCTGGAGGGATTGGGGTGTCCAGGGGCTATGTTATTCTCATACCAGAGGGACGGGGGTGCCCCCGAGCTGTGTAACCCCCGAACCGGAGGGATTGGGATGTCCCGGTGCTGTGTTACCTCTGTGGCGAAAAGAAGGGGTTGCTCTGGGGCCTGTGTTATCCCCCGCCCTCCGGGGCTGTGTTAGACCCCTGCCCGAGGGGTTGGGGTGCCCCGGGCTGTGTTGTCCCCCTCTCGGATGGATGGAGGTGCTCCCGGGCTCTGTTATCTCTGTGCCAGAGGTATGGGGGTGCCCCTGGGCTGTGTTATCCCCGTGCCAGAGGGATGGGGGCGTGCCGAGTCTGTGTTATCCCCGTGCCAGAGAGAAGAGGGTGGTCCTGGGGCTGTGTTGTCCCACATACTGGAGCAATGGGGTGCCCCCGGAGCTGCGTTCTCCCCTCCTGGAGGGATGGGGCTGCTCCCGGGCTGTGTCATCCCCTGCATTAGCAGTAGGGTGCAGGACAGGCTGCTCAGGGCGCTGCATACCCACCTCTCTGCAGGCCCAGCAGTGCCCAAGGCTGGATCACCATCCTCTTACAAGCAGTGTAGGGAGAAGTGACGGGCGCTGAGCTGGCTCTTCTTCCCTGAAAGCCTCCGGGATGGAGAACTGCGGGATTAAGTTTGTGCTCAAGTGGTCTCATGCTATCTCAAAGCTGCAATGCTTCCTGGGCTGCTCAGGGAAGGACTTGGAGTAGGGGTTTTGGAGGATTTGTGGCCTGACAGAGGGTTTGCTGCAAGGATTTTTCTGCTCTCAGGTTCCTGGCCAGGTGCTCCCTTGTCCTTCTGTGTAAGGGAGCAGGTTCAACTGGGTGTCAGAAACATCCTTTCAACCAGTGTTGTATAAATCACAAGCCAGAGAAGCAGCATCCCTGCCACGTCCATTCCTGGGTTTGCTGCAGTTCCCCAGAGCAGAGGGAAGGCTGAGAAGCAGAATTAAAAAGGTGTGATGTGGACAAGCCCACTCAAGATGACTGGCAGCTCATCTTGGTCTGATGGATGAGAATTTCACTGGGAGGGTTTCAGGCCTTTCTTGGCAAGCAGAATTAGCAGCCTCTTGGTAGGTTTGCAGGCATGGGATGCTGTGTCTGTGGGATGAGGAGCTCTTGCTGTGAGGAGCTTCTCATGCTATGAAATGTCTTCAGCCTCCAGTTCAGTGTCAGTCCCTCTGGGTAGTGCAGACCTTGCCTGTTGTTCATAGTGGAGCTCAGTTGCTTCCACCCTTCTGAAGGGGAGGTAGAGGGCAGGCTTGGGGTATCAGAATGTTTGATAAATTAGGTTGCTTTTCTGAAATACTTTTTTTTTATTAAAGGCAACAGAACTGAGTCCTTGTTTGTGGTCTTGAGATGATTCTTTAATCAAAATGCCTTTCCATAGGATGAATAGCAATCTTGGAGTTAAAAAATCGTTGTCCCCAAGTGAGAACTTTTGATTCTTTCTGCCTGGCATCAGTGTGACAGGAAAAGGGGAGACATGGTTACTGGGTTAAGTGTGAGGAAGGCAGTGGTTCTGGGTTGCTTCCTGGGCTGGCAGAGGTGGTGTGAGGCTGTGAACAACCAGCTTGTGCACCTACAGTCAGCTCAGAGCCAGCTGCAGCCTGCACCCTGCTGCAGGCAAACTGAATTTCACTGCTGTGAGCTCAAAGGCATCATCCCATCCCCATTCCTGGCACCACAAACGGGCTCAGGCAGCCCTGGGCTGGAGATGGTGGTCTCTTCTGTCTCTCTGTCACCCCTGGGATTCATCCAGCACCATCACTCAGGGTCCTGGACTGCTCTCCCTGGGAAGGCCTGTGGCATCTGCTCCAGCACAGGACAGGCAGGCCACCATCCTGCTTTCCTGCTACCTGATTCTGCCCTGCCTGCTCCTCCCTTCTACCCCAGATTGTCCTCTCTGGAAGCCACTGCAACAGTCCTCACAAATAATAGAGAAACCTTTCTGCACCTTTCAGCTTCATTCCAGGCTGGGGTGCAGACTCCCCTGGCCCAGAGCGAGGGGCTAAGCAGCTGAATTCAGTGCAGGGCAGGTAAAAGGACGTTGTAGGTGACAGGTTAAAAGGAACCTGACATGGGGACACTTGCTTAGCGATTTCTCTGGCTTTTCTCAGGGTGGGCTGAGCCATCAGGTTAGTCCAGAAACACTCACCTCAGTTTTGGGTCTGCTGAGGGGGCTGCCGTGGGCCCCACCTCAATTCATGACTGTCCCAGACAGCTTTTGGCAAGTCTGAGTTTAAGAAACAAACCACACCTGGCAGGGAGACCTTTTCTGGAGGGCATTAAAGCTTTCAGCAAAGGGACCTGGACGGTTTCCTACTGCCTCTTTTGAGAGCAGGAACAAGGAACAGGGTTTTGAATGGTGTCCTGAGACCTGATGCTCTGGGTTTCCGTTCCAGCACAGGGTTCTAAGCCAAGAAAACTGCCTGTCCTGCCAAGGCCGGGTAGGAAACTGGGCCCTGGAGCAGCGTCAGCAGCGTGGCTTTAACTCCTCTCTGCAAGGAGCACTGAGGCTCCTTTGATGAGCTCACTCTCTGCAGCAGTTACTTTCTTGTTTCCTTCCAAAAGTGCTGTCCTGCCTGGCTTAACCACGGCCTGACACTGTGGAGTTTGTGAAGATGCTCGTTCAGGCTCAGTGATGAACTTCAGTCACTTCTTAACCACGTCCTGTCTGAGCTGTGCTCTGCTGGTGAACAGCCAGCCTTGGCTGGGGGATGGCAGTGGGGGGCAAGGAGTCAAGCAGAGGTAGGTGGGCTTGAGCCAGGGGAGGACATGGCTGCAGAGCAGGGACCTTGTTCTGGAACAACAGCAGTGGGACACATGGGGAATCTTCTTACATTTTCTCTTTGGGTGACGGTTTCTTGCAAAACCCTGGGTTTAGCAGATCAGGTGGAAGGGATGAGCTGTTAGTTTGGGCACACATATCCCACAGGCTCCTGGGAGTGGGGTGTTTCTGGGGGTAGGACAGGTACACTGACTGCCAGCAGCAAGTCCAGCAGTCATCTCAGAGAGACTGAGAGCTGCTCTGCTTTGATCATCCAGCTGCTTGCCTGAACACACCACACATCTGCACTTGAGCTGTCTCCCATCAGGTGAGGCGTGTGCCTGGACAAGCTGCCTCCCCTGTATTTGCTCCTCCTGCTGCGGTGACCAGATGTCCTACTCTTTAGTGATGTTGTCCTACTTTCAAGTAGGTTATTCTATTTTTGCCTGGCCCTGTCCTTTTTGTGACTTTGCCTCCCTACGTGTCCTGTGCCTGGCTTTCCCCTGGCAGAGGCAGAGGATCTGCAGGTTGTGGTCCTGAGCAGTACAAGCCATTTCCCTCTTCTGTGTTTCCCAAGGAACTCTCACAGCCACCAGCCTTGCAGACCAGGCATGGGCAGGGACCCAGTGCCTCCTTAAAGATGATTAGATGCTGAAGGTCCTCAGAGGGAAGGGTCAGGCTTCCAGCTTGCTTTAAGGGTCTTGAATGGCCTTGCTTGAGCTGGCAGTCATGTGAAGGTGTTTGTTGTTGTTTATATGTCTTATCTTCAAGAGCCAGCACTTCCAGGATCTGAAAGAGATGTCTAAGCAGAGAAAGAAAGGGCTGAGCTCCCTCTCAGGGCTGAGAGTCAGCTGGGAATGGAAATGGAGCCTTGTCCTGTAACTGCAAACTGGCAGCTTGAAGTCTGGGTACTGCAGGGACCTGACTGCCAGCTCACAAGCCTTCCTTGGAAAACACCTTGTCTTTGGCTGCCAGTCCCTGCTGACACTGATCTCCGACACTGGCTCTTGCTGGCTTCCCCTCCTCTTACCCTTTGACTTCAGTTTGAAAACTGCAGCTTCTCGTTCAAACCAGCCACAACACGCTGAGGTCAGGGAGCCTGAAGGTCTCTGAGCTGCCCCAGGTGGAATCCCTGGCATGGCTGCCAGGCTGCAGCCGTGGAAAAGGGCAGCGCCCTGTTGGACAGGCTGGGAGGGAGCACGCAGGCTGGAAGCTGAAGGCTGACAAGCTTTGGACCAGCACTGCAGTTTATTTATGGCCTGCTTAGCAATCTCAGGCAGGCAGTGTGGGTTAAGGCATCTCCTGTCCTGGATTGACAGTACAGATCCAATTAGCCATGAAAGCCTCTAATTATTTGTCCTGAATTGCTCCGGTGGTAACCAAGGCTATGCTATCTCCTCCTTTTGTCTGTGTCCCAGCTGGAAATGCCCCAGTGTCCCTGCATCTAGAGCAGCAAGTGTGATGTGCAAGCAGAGTCAGCACAATCTAATCAAAGGAGACAGGCCCGGGGAGTTAATGAGGGGACGGACCCGCTTCGTTAACTTTGGAGAGTTCTCTAAGCCCTGTCCTGAGAGACAAAGGACTGAGACTGGGTGGCAAAGATAAGGCTCACGAGACGAACTGCTGTGGTAGAGGGGCTGCAGACCATGGGGAGGGAAGGGGGCGGCTGTCAGAAAGATTTGAAAGCAGAAAGTCCCTTGCATGTCACAGGAGAGGAACACCTCCCCTATGAGAAAGGCTGAGAGAATTGGGATTGCTCAGTCTGGGGAAGGGAAGGCTCCAGGGTGACCTTACTGTGACCTTTCAGTACCTGAAGTGGCTACTAAAGAGCTGGAGAGGGACTTTGGGCATGGAGTGACAGGACAAGGGGGAATGGCTTCAAATGGAAAGAGAGTAGGTTTGGGAAGAAATATTGGGAAGAAATTCTTCCCTGTGAGCGTGGCGAGGGCCTGGCATGAGCTGCACAGAGAAGCTGTGGCTTCCCCATCCCTGCAAGTGTCCAAGTCCACGTTGGATGGGGCTTGAAGCAACCTGGGAGAGTGGGAGGTGTCCCTGCCCATGGCAGACTGGCAGACTGATGGAGGTGACCATCCCAGAGAAATGACCCTCAATCTCCAAGAGAGAAGCTGGGTCTCTAGTGGAATGTGTCCTTGCCCATGATGACTTCTAAGGTCCCTTCCAACCCAAACAATTCTGTGATTCTATGATTCTGATCCTACAGCTTGGCCAGCACAGGAGACTGGAAGGACACTGGCTGCAGGGAGTCACAGGCACAAGGTGGGTTCACATGAGCAAGGTCCAGACGTGTGTGCTAAGTTACAGCTGTGGATTCTCAACTGGAAAACTATTTTAAGGTGACAAAAGGTTTGCAGGGCACTTATTGCCTGCTCCTGCTCATTCTGGGTTCTCATTCTGCAACTGAGGAGCCTCGGCTCTCTGCTAGAGAAAATGTGTCATTTACGTTCTCAGTAACCTTAACTCTGACCTGAAATGACAGCAAATAGCTCTCAGACAAGACAGAGCAGCCAGCCTTGCCTTGAAAGCAAAATTTTACACAAATAATATTCAGCTCCTGTATGAGGGGCCAGCTGAGTGCTTACGCCATTGTTTCCAGGTCACAGGGTCCCCCCAAAATGGGTTTTACATGGTTGTCTTGTGATGCTGCCTGAAGGCAAGCCGTGGCTTTGCTCACCACGTGCACATTTTCTCTTTGTGTGGATGTCTGAGCATCAGACCTGCCAGTGAAACGGCTCTGCCCCTGAGCCTGAGAGGAAGGAGAATCAGCAAGGGTGCCCACCTGGGGGAGGCTGGGAGCTGTTCACAGGCATCCCTGGTGTGACACTGGAGCACCAAATATATCTCCCTGACCTCCAGCCGAGGGACATTCACACAGGACCCATCTCTGCCAGGGCCAGTGCCGGTCCTCAGAATCAGCTGACAGATCCTCCGAGCCTCTTGGTGTCCTTCCCCTGCAGCCCAGAGCCTGCCAAGTTCAAGCCAGAGAGCTCCCTCCATACAAATGGGGACGAGGGGGGCGGGCTGTTAACGTACAAAAACTGTTTCTTTCCTGCCCACTTGGAAAGGGGAGCTATGGAATTTTAAGCAGCAAGGACAAAACTCCGCTGAAGAGGCCTCTTCTGTGCTTGCTTGGTGAAATCACTGATCACAGTGGTGGGGGGGGTCCAGGAAGATGCCAGGCTTGCCCTGATTAATGGCCCTGTTGTTGTCTGCTCTAGTTTGTTGGTCTTTGCTCTGGGAGACCATTTGCCAGAGCTGCAACTATTTTCCCCAGAGCAGCTTCCATGGGAGCTGTCCCCGTGGCAGGGGCTGTCCCTCTGCATGGCAGGGCTGCACAATGCCAGCTCTTGGGCCTGGCCTAAAGGGCTGGCCCAGAGTGTTCTGGGAACTTCCTTTGTGGCCATAAAACCTGAACAGGTAGAGAGGGGACAGGTGAGAGGAGACAGAGGATCTTTTTTGCACCAGAAGCTTTCATTTCTGGCCTTTAAGCGTGCCCAGCTTTGCAGCCCAGTACCCTGAGGAAGGGCACCCACTTCTCATACCTCAGTCTGTTCTCTCCAGCAGCACTGATTTGGCTGGGCTGAGAGCTCAGCAGCAGCCTGACTCATGCTTTTCATCCATCACTTTGACCATCCAGCACAGCAGCTGTGCCCTGCACACCTCCAGTTTCCCACCCTGAGCTCAGAGCATCTTGCTCAGGCCCTCTTGCCTGTGTTTTTCTCCTTGAACCACTTAGTTTTAAAATAGAGCAATTATCTTCCTTCAGAAAGGAGCTTACTCTCTCCAATCTAGGGCAGTTTGACAGCACAGCAGCCTGCACAGCTCGCCCTGGGAGCATGGGTGTGTTCCCAGCGTGGGGGCTCCGAGGGCTGGAGCCCCTCTGCTCTGGACGCTGCCTGAGATAGTTGGAGCTGTTCAACTTGGAGAAGAGAAGGCTCCAGGGAGATCTTAGAGCACCTCCCAGTGCCTAAAGGTGCTCCAAAGAGCTGGAGAGGGACTTTGGACATGAGCATGGGGTGACAGGACAAAGGGGAACGGCTACACAGTGACAGAGGGCAGGGTTAGATGGGGTATGAGAAAGAAGTCTTTTACAAAGAGTGTGGTAAAAAACAGGTTGCTCAGAGTTGGTAGATGCCCCATCCCCCCCAAATATTCAAAGCCAGGTTGAGCAAGGCTTGGAGAAACCTGGTGTCGTGGAAGGTGTCCCTGCCCGTGGCAGAGGGAGTGGAGTAAATGATCTTCAAGGTCCTTTCCAGCCCAAACCATTCTGTGATTCTAAGTGGGGGGTCCTGTCTGTGCCTTAGGATGGTGGTTGGGTCAGTGGTTTGGGGTCTGAGGAGGGGCATTACTGCAGCTGAACAGTTTGAATCCTTGGTCCCAGTCTTTTCTTAGTAACTGCTCACGAGTCAGAGGGATGCAGGTTTGGAGGCTTGGCTCTTTGGGAGCAAGGGCAACACGTTCTGCCAGAGTTCACAGCCCTCCCTCAATTGCCAAGCCCTGAGGGATCTCTGGATGGGGAAATTTGTCCCTGAGTCTATGTGATAAGAAAACATAGCCCTTCAGACTGTTACCTATACACCTATCAACAAGAGACAAACCTGCAGGGCTGGCAGGAGCTTTCAGAGGTGGCCTAAGGCACACTCATGCCTGAAGATGGGGGACCAGTTCTTATGTAGTTTGCTGCCAACAGAGGCTTCTCCAACCTGCTCCTAAAATCCCTGCCTGTGACCCCCCTATCAACCATAGATGGGGGCTTGGCTGTGATTCGGGGTCCAGAATTGCTTGTGGGGTTAAAATGCTCAAAAAAAAGAGCCTCTGCAGAAGCTTGTTGCAGGGATTAGTTCAGTGATGGGGCACATTCTGCCAGCCTCAGCTGCCACATGGGCCATGGTGGGAAGGGTTTACATCCTCACATGTGTAGAGCACCTAATCTCCTCTGTCTTGGGATCCTTCTGCTGTCTCACAACTCTACACCAGGCTGTTGTTTAATTAAAAAATAAACAGACAGGTATTCACAAGGAAAATGAAGCTGTTTTGTTCTTTATGTGTCCTTGGTGCTCTCCTGGCATCTTATCTGGGGACAACAGCTCTAAGCCCTGAATTTGCATTTTTGACTTGCAGAGCCAATTGTTTTAATTGGGAGCAAAGCCAGGGAACAGTGATTGTCCCATGCCACACAGACTGGCTGTGGTGTTAGAGGGGAACAGTGCCTTCTTTCCCCTTTGCCCTTGCTCTGAGGTGCAGGTGATGTGGCTTTAGCTCGTGTTTGGTTTCACCTCTTGAGTGACTGCTGAGGGCACTTGGATTGTTGAGCTGGAGAAGAGAAGACAGGTCAGACTTCACCAGGATCTGCAGCTTCCTCACGAGGGGCAGTGGAGGGGCAGCTCCAATCTCTGCTCTCTGTGACCAGTGACAGGACCTCAGGGAATGGCTGGAGCTGTGTCAGGGCAGGTTTAGGCTGGATCTCAGGAAAAGGTTCTTCCCCCAGAGGATGGCTGGGCACTGAACAGGCTCCCCAGGGCAATGTCATGACCCCAAGGACACCAGAGCTCAAGGAGCATTTGGAAAACACTCTGAGGCACAGGGTAGGATTGTTGGGGTGTCCTGTGCAGGGCCAGGAGTTGGACTGGATGATCCTTGTGGGTCCCTTTCAACTCAGGATATTCCATGATTTCATGATTCTCTGACACAGCTTTGTGCACCTGTGCTAAGCCAGCCTGGACACAACCATAGCCCATGTTGTGCTGTGAAATATGGTCAGGATGGTCTGGAGAACCAGAGAAAGGTCTGTGTGGGGCATCCAAGGTCACGTGGAAAGCCAACATTAGCTACTGATTATTTCTACTGTAGTAGAGAAGAGCCAGCTGACCAGCAACTAAAGGGCAGAAACAAACTCTTTGTAACAGAGGGCATTTGTCCACAGACACAAGACCAGGTGAGTTGTTCTTCAGCTGAGCAATGTGTCCTTTCAGTGGAGCCAGAGCTCCAACTCACGCCCTAGAAGTTTGGGACCTACAGAGGAATCCCAGGTGAGCCGTGAGGTACCACTCAGTATGTTCATCTGACCTTGGCAAGCCTGGAGATGCCAAAGCATGGGGGGAGACTGCAGCCATCTCCATATTCCCCGAGTCAGCAGAGCTTCTCCATCTGGTGGCTTTGGATGGGACACAGAAGAAAAAATTAAAAGGCAAATTTTCAAAGGTTGGAGAAGTGGAATCTCCTTGATTAAGGCATTATAAAGCACTGTGATCACCAGGCCCACCCCAAGTGTTTGTCTTGAGCCAGCCTGGGACCTCTTTTGGGTGTGGACCAAAAGGCTACCCAGTGCACAAGGCCCAAACATCCATGGACACCCTCTCAGTGGATCAACTGGGGCTGGGTTTAAGGCATGGCCCAGGTGACAGACAAACCTGGACAGGACTTGGTTGCTTTGAACTTCCCCTACAGGAGCACCAGGCTTTCATTCCCAGATCACAAACCCCTCAGACACCCTCAGGGCTCAACCCACAAGCTTTGCACCCTGAATTACTCCATCACTACGGAGCAAATGCAGTGGTACAGACCCAGCCATGGCTCTGCTAATGCCTGGAGGCAGATTAGTGTCAGTCTTTTCCTTGGAGTCTGCCACCTATAGCACCTCTGACCAAAGCTCATGGTTTAAGCTCCACTGCACTCCTGCAGCAACACTGTGCATTTTTCATACTGGAAACTGAGATTTGCAGAGGTGAAGCAAGTTGGTAAAAGAAGTCAGAGCTGTGTGGAAGGAGAGAAAAAAAAACCAGTAAAGCTGTAAAGCTGCCATTTTAATTTGCTGCACTGAGAACATCATTGTTGCTGAGCTACCACCGAGGTGCTCATCCAGTGGGAGCTGCTGGAGATTTGCAAGTATAAGTGCTTTAAACAAGGGACAATGTGGATTAAGCCTGACACCCCACTGGATTCTCCTTCTCTTGGTCCCTGATCTACCAACAAGCACCTCTGACACTTTGCATATAATGTGACCTATTGTATAAATATTTAGTCACTCCGTTGGGAACATTAATTATAGATGGAGACGCAGCTTTTGAAAGCTGCCTGTAGGTCTGGGCACCCAATTTCCATTAATTTTAATGAGAACCAGACATCCAAATCCCATTCGGTGGCTTTGAGCATCTCAGGCAAGAAGCTTCATCTGACACACACCCCCCCTCCATTCTCCCCACTCTGCAATTTAAGAGTGAGATTTGCAAATACCTTACAAA